ACCCGCCCTGCGCCATCCTGGGGCTTGACAGGGGCCTCCACATGGAGGACGCTCTCCTCCGACCCCAGTCCCTGACGGACTCCCCCACCCACCTAAGGTAACTACGGCCTTCGGGACCAGCACATGGCTTTCACATGGGTGAAGAGGAACATTGCAGCCTTCGGGGGGGACCCAGACAACTACACCATCTTTGGGCAATCAGCTGGAGGTGTCAGCGTCTCTCTGCAGGTCTGGGGACCTGAGAAGGCGGGTCTTCCTCCCAGGGTGTTGGGGGAGATAATGGGGGCTGTGGGGAACAGCATGAAGCTGACAGTCTTGAAGTTTCTGGCTGAGCCTGGGTGTGGGCAGGAGAGGCAAGACCGTGATGACAGGATCTCTGTGTGTCGCAGGTCCTCTCTCCCTACAACAAGGGCCTCATCCGGCGAGCCATCAGCCAGAGCGGCTCGGCAGTGGCCTCCTGGGCCATCCAGAGGAACCCTCTCCGCTGGGCTAAGCAGGTAAAGGGGATCTGCAGTGGGGAATGGGGGAGGGTTACCTCCTGTCCATGGCCCGTCCCGGTCCCCAAGGCCGTCTGGCCTGCAGTGGCCTCACCTGCCTGTCTCCCCCAAACCCCCAGATCGCCAAGAATGTGGGCTGCCCACTGGACGATACCGCCAGGATGGCCAAGTGTCTGAAGGCCACCGAACCCCGGGCCCTGACACTGGCCCATAAGGACAACCCATTCGGCAAGGCATGTGAGTGGGGGCTACACATGGGGAGCCGGCCATGCTTCCCAAGAAGTGAGGAAGTGCCGGGTCTGCGGCCTGGTTCATCACCGGCTCACTGGCACCTGTAGGCAGCGACATGCCACCATGGCCCTGATGCCTGTGTGGCCCAACCTGGTATGCTGAGGGCGACATCCCGCCATCTTATCCTCCCTGGGTCCTGACCCCTTTGGGAAGCAGGTGCACATTTGGGCGCACCCCCAACCATGCCGCGTACAGTCATTTGTACCCAGTTGTAGAGACCAGACCAAGC